GGGAACAACTAGGAAGATTTGCTAGTTCTTGAATGAGTGAGGAGTGTTCTCTTGGATCAGGGGTGGGAAACCTGCAGTCTCCAAGCCACATGTGGCCCTCTAGGTCCTCAAGTATGGCCCTTTGAATCCTCCAGTCACTTGAAGACCTACAAGGTCACGTGTGACCTCTAAGCCACAGGTTCCCCACCCCGTTTCAATGGATGACATTCCACTCAAGTGTCAGATGGGATAAAGAAATCAAGATTTGTGGATCCTATATCTAAACCTGGTATGCAGGAATATGACTTTCCTGAAGATGAAGGACAATGGGAGATCCTGCTTCTAGGAAAGTTGTTATATAACCAGAGCCTGAGGGAAGTGGTAGGAAAGATTTAAAAAAAAAAAAAACCTCATCCCTGGCCTGGTATTATATCACCAGAGCTGTGGTACACCACAAGAGGAACTCTGTCCCCTGTCGCACAAGAACTCTTGAGGTTTTTCCCTGGAAGATCAAGACTATCCAAAGGGCAGAGAGGGTTTTGCCTTAGCAAAGAGCAATTCCTTTTTTCTTTCCTTTCTACCTTTTCTAGCAAAGGGCTCCCTGAGGAAAAAAAAAATAAAAACATTTTAGCTACATTGGGGCAAAGAGGTGACTCAGAGAAGGGGGGAGCAGTGGGATGATGGTGGGATGGTGATAATAAGAAGCAAATCCAAGTATGAAGCACTGAGACAGTATGCTGTACCTGGAGAAAGAGAACAAGAAAGATGTCAGGCAGACCTGGAATTGAATGAAACTTCTGACATTAGCTGTGTGACCATGGGCAAGTCACTTAAGTCACTAAGCCTTGGTTTCCTCATCTGTAAAACTGAGATAACTACATCTTTAAGCTATAGTGCCAACATAAGATGGTTATGAAGTTCAAATTAGATAATCTATATGAAGTTACTTGAAAACCTTAAAGCACTATATAAGGTGAATTCCCCTACAGCTATACTTCTGACTGTCTTCACATGTCGTCACCATGACTCAAGTGTCTTCTCACCCTAGAACATCTCTTTGAAATGCCTGCCCCCTTCTCCTGTTGGTGGGTTCTTTCTGAGGGTGTCCACTGAGGGGAAGAGCCCAGGCTAGCCCTCCTTCACTTCCCTCCCATTGTGTTACCAACTTGTCTCTTTTTGCTTGTATCTGTATCATCAAAGTTTAGCACAGTGCCTGGCACATAGCACCTGCTCAATCAGTGCTTGTTGTCAGCCTGCCTGGGTGTTACCTGCTATTGTAATGACTGATAGAGAGACGGAAGAATCACCCAACTCTTACTTTGTCTCAGCTTTCTTTTCCAAAGAGAAAATTTTCTGGATTTAAAAAGAGAATAAAGTATTTATTTAAACATTGGAACCCAAGATGCATAGGTTAATAGTAAAAGAACTCTTTTCTATCATCAATGAATTTGTTATCTGACCCAAAGGAAAGACATCCAAAAGTGGGGGTGGGGAGAATGGATGGCTATAATTTCTGAACCAGTTACTGTCAAAATTATTTGAAAAATCATGAAGACTGGGGTAGGTGCTATGGAAGTAAAGAAGGAAAAATATTGTTCTGATTTTTCCAAAAATGGATGAGAGAATCTGCAAGCAATAAATAAGTTACCTTGTCTTTAATTCCATGCAGAACCTGTCTCCAGGTTTGACACTGTGCTGTTCAATATTTTTCTCAGTGACTTGGAATAATAGAATAAATTGGAATAATATGTAAAGTGCTTTGCAAACCTTGAAATGCTATATAAATGTTAGATATTGATGATAATATTATTTTTCATAGATGCCATGCTTCTCAAAATTATAAGCAAGAAAAGCTAGGAAGCTGTTGACTTGCTGCCAGGTATGTTATAAAGGCAACTGTTGTTCAGATATGGAGATTCTAATTCAGATTCTAGGGAGGCTCTGAGATGCTTTCCAATTCTTTGATTTTTTAATATCCATAACCACTCAAATGAGTTTGGCCTGTCAATATGGGCTGTTGCTATCATTCAGGCATCTCAGTCATGTACTACTCTTCATGACCCTATTTGGGGGTTTCTTGGCAGAGATACTAAAGTGGTTTGCCATTTCCTTCTTCAGCTCATTTTAGATATGAGGAAACTGAGGCAAACAAAGTTAAGTGACTTTCCCAGGGTCACACGGCTAGTAAGTGTCTGAGGCTGGGTTTGAACTCACCAACATGAGTCTTCCTGCTTCCAAATCCAGTACTCTAACTACTGCTCCACCCAGATGCCCTGTTAATACACATCTGGCCAAGGGGTGGGAATCAATTATATGAAAAGTGCCTATTGTCTATTGTAGTCAGTTGGCAGGGTAACCCATTATTTAGCTGGCAGAGCTAGTTTAAAGTCTCCATTGCATATTATGAGAAGATCACGGGTGAGGAACTGAAAAGGAGCATAGGCACTCAAAGGACCATGAGTCAAGCAGGTTACTCCTCACAGGCAGGCAAGCATCCCTCTCAGGCACACAGTGCTGGCTCAGGTATACTATGGCATGTGTACACTAATTAAGAGTCCAGATCTCTTGGTCTCTGTCTTTATATCTAACTGTTGTTGCTGGGCAGATGCACAAGGAGTGGAAGGAGGAATTCTTTGGGCAGTCAATCAGCAGGTAGTCTGGACTGCAGTCCTCTTAATTAACCATAAGGATATTGTTATTAGGGAAGTTTGCAAACACTGGATGCCTAGATTAGATGAAGTTTACTAAACTGAATATAATCAAGAGACCTTTGAATTCTTTGCCTAAATGAAAGTGACTAAACACTAGCTTCATGACCCTAGGCAAGTCACTGAACCCTGGTTACCTCAGTTTCCTCATCTGTAAAATGAGCTGTAAAAGGAAATGGCAAACCACTTCAGTATCTCTGCCAAGAAGACCCCAGATGGGCTCACAAAGTGCCAGAAGTGAGTGGAAAATGGTGCAACAACAAAATCAATATTGGGTATATAGGAACTTCCCAATACATAGGAAGATCAATTGGTAGTGAAATGTGAAGTCACTTTTGATCTTCATATATCTTGTAGACCACCACAATCAGAGAGTACATGCCCTGCCATAATGGTCTAAATACTTCCCACTGAACCTCCATCCACCTGTGCAAATGATAGAATGTCTAGACAAATTTACACCTATAAAACTTCGTCTAGATTTCACTGATCCAACAACAATAGGCACAAGACCTTTATTCTCAAGCCTAGGTGTCCAACATGCATGTAGGAGAGATTTCTCTACTGGAGGAGAATGGCACTATTTAATGCAAGGGACAGCAAGCTATCGCCAAACTTAGCTCTCAGCCCATGCAAAAACAGGTGCTGGGCAAGATTTGGTCCATGGACCATAATTTACCAACCTTGATCTAATGGGATGTTTCATAATCAAGGGAATTGTGTTCTCCTTCCTCCTTCTATCCCCTAGACACATAGAGATGGAAGCTTAACACATGTTTTTGCATTGTATGTTGTATGTATGACACAGGAAAGGAAAGGAGAAAGGGAAGAGAGGTTAAGTGTTACAGTACTGGGGTACATGGAGTGTTCCAGGAAGACTAGCACCTCTGGTGCGAGGGCTACTCATCCACCTTTGGTGTTCACCTGGCATTCACTTCTTACCTGTGGCTTCAAAAAGCTGTAGCATGTGAAGTAGCCACGCTGCAGTAAAACAGTATCAGCAGATGAGCTAAACCAGGTCAAGGGTAACCCATAGGCCTCAAACCCATCAATGACTCAGGAGGATGTCTACCTTCAAGTGTGTGAGGTCTTCCCCCAGATAAAGGAGCAGATGAGAACAATTTGTTCCAACAGCCATGAAAGTGGCTGAAGCAGGCACTATGGAAGTGCTTAGAGATTGGCCAGACGAACATGCCAATGTCATTTGCTGCAACCTGGACCATCACCAGTCATTCTGACTTTTGTCTTGCCACTGGACTTCGATGACTCTGCAAGAGAGTCAGGTTAATGACTTTGGGAAAAACTGCCTCGTGTAAATCCAATTCATATGCAATTCAAGACATCAACCATAATGTCATTGGTCCTCTTTGAAAACTAAAGACTAACACCAACTAGGGTTACAGGCTGCAGATTGATCTAGGAGGATGAGAACTCACAAAAGGTTAAAGTTCATAGACTCTTCAGATTAATTGAAAAAGGCATATTTTATGTTTCCAACTGTCTCATTCAGTGCCATGACCTCCAGGTCCAACTCTGCCACAAGCTATAACAGAAGGAAAGAGACCGGACAAGAGCAGTACCTAATTATTCCTTTGGAATAGTCCTTGCTTCTCCAAACTTCTTTGTTTACACCATCAAAAGCACCAACTGTACTTAAGGGTATCTATGTCATCACAGAGAAAAAAAGAAGAAAAACCACTCAGAAATGTGGACAGAACCTCAAAAAGCCTGAACATGGGTGTTTCCATTCACCTCTAAATGGAGTCAAGCTAGTAAAAGAAGCATTTAGGGACACGCAGGACTAATTATATTTGTGTATATTTGGATGATGAATTGGGACTTTGAATATGAAAAAGCTAAAGTTGCAATTAATAGCCTTTGTCTAATTACATATTAGACACTGTCTAATGTATAAAAAGTTATAATTCAAAAGATGAAAACTGAGCTGGTGTGGGGTTCTTGTCTTCTCTGGGGGAAGAAACAAAAGCAATTGAACATAAACATCAATAGAAAAGATTCAAGTTAGCCATTTTAAAAAGTTACTTGAAATAAAAGTTGTCCATTACTAGTTGTCTAATAAAGTTGTATAGATCTCTTTTTGTGGAGGGCTTTTAAAATAATATTTTTAAAGTTTTAGAGATATTTAAGCTTTGGTTTTGCATAGAGATTGAGAGGAAGAGTAAATGGCTTCTCAAAAATGCTTCCAACTTTATCTACAAACTGCAAAATGCTTTTCTTCTATTTCCACATCTCCCAACTTCCTCCCCAAAAAGCATGTACTAGGCAAGGGAAGTTTCAAATCTTACCTTAATTGGCTGAATCATATTATACACCGCAACTTAGCCCCCTGGCTCTACCTCATCAATAAACTCATAAAAAACATCTTTAAGCACTTTCTGCATGTGAGGAGCTTTCCTAGGCAATGAGAATAAAAAGACGAAATTATAGCAATTGACATTTACATAAGACTTTTTAGCTTGTAAAGCATGTTACCTACATTGTCTCACTATGTTATGGGCTTCATAACAACTCTAAGAGTTACATACTATAGGTATGGTCATATCTGTTTTACAGATGGGGAAACTAAGGCTCAGAAAGTTTAAGTGTCTTGTCCATGGTCACATGGGGAGTGAGTGGAAAAGGCAGGGTTCAAAGCCAGGTCTTCCCAAAATTCAAATCCAACACACTTTCCACTAAGCTATATTGCAGTGGTGAGAATGATGGATTGGAGAAAGAAGAGCCTGGAGGCAGGGGAATCAGGAGGCTTTTACAATTGTGCAGTCAATTAGTGATAAGGTCCTGAATAAGGTAGTGGAAGTAGAAAAGGGGGGCAGAGACAGTGCAGAGGCAGAATTGATAATGATTTGGAAAGAGAATTTCTAGTGTCATAGAGACAGAAATGACTCGTACTAAGGAAAAATAACAATTGCTCCTATTATTCTTACATATATATTAGGTATTTTATGCACAAAGCACTCTACAGAACACAGAAATGGACCCACTGATTTGAAATTGTAATTCTTTAAAAGTAAAAACAACCGTTTAATTTGTGGCTTTTCCCTAGTAGAACATGAAAAAAAACCACAATTTACTAAGGCAATTTTTAAGATACAAAATCTAAAAGTATGATATCTTTTTTTCTTTTTTGCAATTGAGAATATCAGATATGTAAATAATAAATTTTAAATCCAGAAAATGAATGAAGGCAAATGTCTGTGACCTTTGGTTTCCATGTTTTAGCTCCTAGAATAAAATGATATATTTCAGTGGAAGAGCACACATATGCAGTAGCTTGGGCTGTAGGTGATTCAATAATGAGATAATCTTTCAAGATAAAGGTCTTGCATTAATGAGTATGAATAAAGATGACAGCAATCATAAAGCCCAGACTATAATTTGGTCTTAATATAGAAGAGCTTTGTTTTCATATCAGCTAATGGGAAGAGCTGGCCAAACATGACAGACAATCAAGGCCTGTGCTATTTATATACAGAATCTCCCATATCTTTCTGAGAGTAGGGAGAGATCACTCCTTCAGTACTTTCTGTTGGCTGTACAAACTGTATAATGCTAACCAATGTGAGAATTAGGCTAAAGAGAATTACTGTGTGCAGTCCTTCAAAATCCAGTTCACATTCCACCTCTGAATGCAGCTTTTTCTAACCACTCCAACCTGATGTGGTCTTTCTTTCCTCATCCTTTGCATTGGACATCTTGCCCATACAAAAAGTCATTTGCCTATACTACATAAATTTCATAGTGGGTAATCAACATCTGGAAGATAGGATAGTGCTAGGTTACCTAGAGCTCTGAATTGGGGCAAAATACGGAATGGAAGACAGATCAGAAAACCAACCAGGAAAGTCCTATGAGATGACTGCTTTAGGATTAGGCCTTCTAAAATTGCTGTATTTTTAAAAGTTCAAGAGGTAAATCACATTCACTCTGAATGACATTGGTTCTGACAAAGCTCCTCCCTGACTCTATGCCTTTGCACACACTATTTTCCCTATTTAGAATGCCTCTCATACTCAAAAACATAAAAAAACAAGAATAATAATAACCTACATTATACAGCACCTTTAGTTTGATGAACAATTTCCTCACCAGGACCCTTGTGAGGGAAGGTAGTAAAAGTGTTATTATCCTTATTTTACAGATGAGAAAATTGAGACTCAGAGAGATTATAAGGGCTACCCAGGTGGAATAGTGTATGGGTCAGGACTGGGTCTGAATTTAGGAAGACCTACATTCAAATCCAGCCTCAGATACTTGCTATCTGTATGACCCTGGACAAGTCACTTAACCCTGTTTACCTTAGTTTCTTTAACTGTAACATGGGGATGTAATAATAGCACCTACCTCCTCGGGTTGTTATGAGGATAAAATGAGATAATATTTGTTTGTAAAGCTCATAGCACAATGCCTAGCACATAGTAGGTACTTTAAAAAATACTTTCCATGCAACTAGTAAGCATGTAATTTCATAGCTGAGAACTTAAATGCAGGTCTATTGGTCCAAAGACCAGTCTATTTATCACTACACCATATTATCTCTAGAATATGAAACTATATTTTGCTGCATGGAAAGACAATGTGATGTAAGAACACTGGATTTGTAATCAGAAGACCTAGGTCTTCTGATACTAACCACCTACATTGGCAGGGTTTAACAGCAGAAACAGAACTAGGGTTAGAATCAGAGGACCTAGTAAGGTCTACTGCCTACCACCTACTATAAAGCCTTGATTGTGCTTCTTAACCTCTCCAAGCCTCAGTTTCCTCATCTGCAAAATGAGGGGAAAGGATGAATTAAATTACCTCTAAGGTCCATTCCAGTTCTAAATCTATGATCCTATACCCTTCACAAATCTTACAACCTCTCCCAACTTCATTTGTAAAATGGGTATGGCAATAATTTATGCTACCTATCTCAAAGAGCTTCTCTGTAAAGTACAGAGCAGGATGACCATATGAGCTATAATCAGATGATTTTGCTGCTACTGCTGCTGCTGATGCTACTGTGCAGTTGTTTTAGTTGTGTCCTACTCTATGTGACCCTATTTGGGGTTTTCTTGGCAAAGATACTGGAGTGGTTTACCAATTTCTTCTCTAGCTCATTTTACAGATGAGGAAACTGAGGCAGACAGGGTTGAATAACTTGACCAGGGTCATTCTGCTAGTAAATGTCTGAGACCAGATTTGAACTCATATCTTCTGGATTCCAAGCCTGGTGATCTCTCCACTGCACCACCTTGCTACCCTAAATAATCTTACGGACGAGAAAGTCGAGGCTAAGAGAAGTTAAGTGATTAGCCCATAATCATAGAACTCCTTAATATTCACCCAAATTATATCTGTTCTTCAAGGTCCACTTCAAATCTCCACCTTTTCTTGTTAGTAGCCTTTCCTGATTTTTTTTTCCAACTCCCTACTGATCTTTCTTAACTCTACATGTCCATCCTGTACCTCTTCATAAAGCCCTTGATTATAAATTGTCTCATACCAGAATCATCACAAACTGGAAAGGACTTCAAACAATCATCCAGTACAACCCCCTCATTTTACAGATAAGGAAACTGAAACCCGGGGAAGTCAAGGGCTTGCCAAAATAGAAAACATCTGCACATCAGCAGTTGGTCTTGAACCCAAGTCCTCTGTTTCTGAAGCCAATGCTCATTCTTTCATTGTGTCTTATTTTCAAAGAATATCTCCCCAGTGGAGATTACATTATATAGCACCTTTAGTTTGATGAGCAATTTCCTCACCAGGACCCTTGTGAGGGAAGGTAGTAAAAGTGTTATTATCCCTGTGTTCCTCAGGATAGGGACTTTCATCTTTCACTTCTTTGTATCTCCACAGTGTCTATCACACTACCATCCACAAAGTATTCACAAGGGAATGGAGTGTTCAGGAGCACTAGCCCCTCTGATGCGAGGGCTGGTGGACCATTATGAGGGCTGCTTATCCGCCTTTGGTGTCCACCTGCCACCCAACTCTCACCTGTGGCTTCTAGAAGCTGTAGCATGTGCAGCAGCCACACCCTGGTACACTACCTCGGGAGTCAGGCTAAACCAAGTTAAAGGTAGTCATTAGGCCTCAAACCTGTCAGGTAGAGAGATGTCCACCTCAAGCATGTGAAGACATCCCCCAGTGCAAGGGGTGGATGAGATCAATTTGTTCCAAGTCCACAAAGTCGGCTGAAGCAGGTAGGCATCGTAGAGTACTTAGAGCTTGGTCAGACATAGAAGACACTGAGGTCATCTACCGCATCCTGGGTCATTGCCAGTCATCCTGATTTTTGTGTTGCCAGTGGACTTCAATGGCCCTAGAAGAAAGAGTGAGTCTGATGACTTTGTGCAATGCTGCCCCACTTAAATCCAATTCACTAACAATTCAAGACTTCCCCCCTAGATGTCATTGGTCCTCTTTGAAAATGGACAAACAACAATAACATCAACAGAGCAAGTGCTCAATAATATCTTGTCAATTTGACTCCCCACCCTTTATGCTAATACTCTATCACCCTATATGATACAGTCCTCAAGAAAAAGGACAATGAAGATAATGAAGGACAATGAAGATAACTGAACGTCTTGTTCCCCTCATGATCATCCCCATCCAAAGTTGGAGCTCCTGATCCATTTAACACTTACTTCAGACTTACCTCCAAGATGGACTGTATCATTTACTTAAACTCAGAGAATAGTAAAAGTTAAAATATTCCTTTGGAAGAAGTGTTCAAAGGATACTTAAATAGATGGGTTTTCCAGGGGTGAAGGAACTGTCAGTGTTATTTTAAAAGGCAAGATCTCATGGGAACTAGTTCAATAATTCTATAAAGATATGATGATTGATGAGGATGAATTTCAAGCAACAGCAGTCAAATTTGCATTCATTCTCTATGCATTTCTGAAGCCACCTTTCTCTTTCCTCCCTGCTCACCAAGATAAACAGATATCTTCTTAACACATACAACTGCAAAAAAGAGCAGCCTCCACCCACACACCCTTGAGACAGAGCTGAAGAGCTCTGTGAAATAACAAATCATAAGAAATGTTTGGGGGCCACAGGGTAAGGCTGTCTGCAGCCCAAGCAAGCAAGGGTGCCAAGATGTGTGTCCAAATGCCAGGAATAAAAAGATAAACCTTGGAAATTGAAAGTCTGGGATGGGAGGTCTGGACACTGATTTTGTAAACTCTGTGTTGGTCTCATTTTAGCATATAATGCTGCCCATTGACCTCCCTTTTTCCCCAACTGTCCAGCAGCCCCCAGAATACTTTGGGGTGTGCTATCCCCACAGCAGCCCCAACTTAGTAATAGCATAAGGACATGTCTATGAGACACTCAGTGAAGATCTGTCAAATATCAAGTTCATTTGATTGAGGTAGGTAATTAAATTAACTAGATAATTGCCATATCTCTACTTGGTATTAATTAGACAGACAGGTGGGGGCTATCCTAGACTAATGACTCATTTCAGGGCCTCAGAAAGCCCTCCTTGGGTCCTGTGAGCTACATAACAAAAATGACTCATTCTCTAATGTGATTAGGAGGGTGGGGAAAAGCCTAAACACCACCATAGAGCGTCACCAAAGGGCATTCAACAGCCCTGGATTATAACAGAAAAAGAAGGTGTGACACGGGCTTAGGGTAAACTCCCTATGGCAGATCAACACAGGACTCATGGTAGATCCAGACAGCTTAATGATACTCTATACCTTCCTTCAACTCTCATGTGTTAAGTATCTGCTACATGTAGAGCACAGTTCTTGATAATGGAGCAGTTAGAAAATTTACAACATGAAGCTTCGAGTCAAGTAGGGGAATAAGCCTCAAACCCAGGGATAAGGGATGGATCTGTGACTTTACTGGGATAGGTAACTCCCATATCAGGAAATCCCCTTTACTAATGTAAGTAGGTATATTCTCTGCCATTTATAATTTGAAAGGGTTGCCTAGAGGCTTGAGAGTTAAAAGGCTTGCTCAGGTTCACAAGGCAGTGCGTATGTCAGAGGTGGAACTGGTTCCAGGGCACTACCTCTCAATAACACATAATAAGTACATTAGTAGAATGAAACAGAGTGCTTGTGAAATCCAAGGGAAAAGGTTAACAGCTAACAAGGGGAAACAGAGAAGACTTGAAGGGAAAGGTAACATTTGAGTTTGATTTTAAAGAATGAGTAGCAGTTGCAAGTAGGAGGCAGCTAAGTAACTCTTAGCACAATGGATAGAGTGCCTTCCCTGGAGTCTGGAAGACCTGAGTTCAAATTCCACCTCAGACACTTACTAGCTATATGAGCTAGTCACTTTAACCTTGTTTGCCTCAGTTCTTCATCAGTAAAAATGAGCTGGAGAAGGAAATAGCAACCCATTCCAGTATCTTTGCAAAGAAGACCCCATGAAAATTATGATCCATAGAGTCATGAAGAGTCAGACCAACTAAATGAATGAACAACAATAACAAACAATTGCAAAGTCCTATGGATTTTATCCCCACAACTCTTACATTTGCCCCCTTCTCTCCATTCCCATAGGGGGCTGTCACCAGCCATCTTGATCTATATCTATGCCATTGGACTTCAATGACTCTGGAGGAGAAAGTGAAGCTGATACACAGCCCTGACTCATTTAAATCCGAATCACTTGCAAGTCAAGACATCACCCTCCTGATGTCATTGGTCCTCTTTGAGAATGAAGGATGAGCAACAATCCATTTCCATAGCCATCGCTCTAGTACAAGGTCTAAATACCACTCACTTGGGCTACTGGAATAGCCTAAGGGATTTTGCTTCAGTTCTATGTCATTCGCTCCCATCCTCACTTCATACCACAACTAGATGAATCTTTTTATACACAGTTCTTGCCATTCTACCCCTCTGCTCCAGAATCTTCCGTGGCTCCCTATTGGTTATTGAGTAAATTTCCAAGTTCTTTTACCTATAAAAGAAGGCAGCAGAGAAGGAGGATGGGAGTATTTTCCAGATACGAGAAATAACATGAGCAAAGGCAACAGGTCATAAGAGCGTGTTCAAGGACTAGAATAGATTTGACTGGCGCAAAGAGTGTATGTAGGGGAGTAATGGGAGATAATCGAGAAAGAGAAGGGAACTTCAGATTATTGGAGAGTCTTGAATGTCCTGCAAAGGAATGGGAAATTAACCCAGTGGACCCCAGGGAATCACTGAAAAATTTTAAGCAGGAGCAATAACATGACAAGCTCTGTACACAAGGATCATCATAACAATAGTGAAATAAAGAAAATATTGGATGAGAGAACAGAATAGGGGCAAAAGGGTATGTTAGGAAACTATTATAATAGTTGAGGTCAAAGGTATTAAGGTCCTGTATTAGTATGGCAGTAATCTAATGGGTGCCATCTCTAGGGAGCAGGGCAGGGAGAGGAAAAGAAAGGTGAAGGGAAGAAAAAATTTTGTTATATATTTGAAAGGAATAGCAAGTTGTGCATAGAGATTTACAGTTTCATGAACAATCATCTTTTTTTAATTATACTATGTTATGGAAATGCTTGTTTTATTCCATAAATTAAAAATAAAATTTTTAAAAAAAGAGCCTCTACTAGAATGGTAGCAGTAGAAATGCAGAGGAAAGGATAGATGGGAAGGAAGTTGTGGATATTGAGTCTATAGGACTTTGTAACTAATTGGACAAATAACACCCTGCCCAAGTGGCCTTGGGCAGTCCCCTAAATGACAGCCCTATGAGGTTGTGTATGGCTTGAGGGACACATGACTCCTGATTGTCTGAAAGACTTCAGAGAGAGAAGAGAAAGGAGAGTTAGAGGGATGGGTAAGAGTTGAAAAGAAGCACAGACTTTGAATAATGTATGTGAAACCCTGAAGCCACAGATGTTATGGGGTGACAGCTCCTCCCCAGATACCAATCAAAATCTATGCCTTCGTTTCCCTCTCACCTGCCTCTCCACTTCTCCTTTTTTTCTCCTTCTCTCTCAGAAGTTTCTTGGCTGATCAAGAGTCATGTCTCCTCCTATTCATCACAGAGGTGCCCTTCAATGGACTACCCAAGTCTACTTGACTGGGGTGCTACAAATACAAGTGAGGAAGAAGGCTAAGTGATAACACTAAGGCTCTGAACCTAGGAGCCAGGATAAATGATAATGCTACAGATAGAAATAATCAAGTTAGTAAGAAGAGTAAGTTTTAAAGAGAGAGACAATAAGCTCAGTTAAGGATACATTGGGTTTGAGGCCCTGCTATGATGGTCCCAGCTAGAGATATCCTGCATGTAGGAGGAAATGCAGATCTGGGAATTCAGAAGAAAAGTCAAGGCTGAAGCTAAGATTCCCTTTCAAATATGAAGCTCCTTTTTGTACTTGTATTCAACCATAGCCACCAGGCAAAGGAGAGTCTTAGTTTTGGTTCCAGGGTTTCCCCAAAGGGCAAGACAAACAGGGCTGTCACTTGTGCAAAGGCCACACTGGGTAAATACATGTCATCTTCCTTGGTCAAGATGCCAGTTCATACGAGATGCCCAGCCCATGGTGCCAAGCAGTTTGCTGAGTGTCGCTATGGACAAAGCACTGTGGAGAATACGAAGAAGAATGAAGCGTCCCTATTCTCAAGTAGCTTATGATCTAGTACAGGACATAAAATGTGTTCATAACTATAAAGTAGATGTAATATAAATACAAAGTAGAATGTAAGAGTGAAATAAGAGAAGTATAAAAATACTGTGAGAATTCAGAGGAGAAAGAGATCACTTCATCATCATCAAAAACCAATTTCTGGGCATCTATTCTATGCAGAACATTATTCTTAACCCTGGAAGCAAAGATAAATCAGAGATGAATATGAGCTGCAAGAGCCAAGAATCAAAGACTTTCACTTTCTTAATGCTTTGCATACGGGCAATATTTGGGAGGGGTGAGAGGGGAAATGCAAACATATACCCAGCTGGTTAATTACACGTTACCACAAGGGGTGGGAGGGGGAAGCAGCTGACAAAAGTCCTCTTCATCTGAACAGCCAAAAGCAGAACAAATGTCTATCAACTAATGTTCAACTGTCTGGTCAGGTACAACTGCTCACCAATCAGCAACTCAGATTCTACCTGACTTCCTACCACCTGACTCCATAATTTCTTGGAACTTCATTTACTGCATGATTACTCTCTTAGTACTTCCTTGAAAGACATAACTGCAGTGCTCCAAACTCCCCAACCCCCTTCCCTAAACACACACACACACACACACACACACACACACACACACACACACACACACTCATTCATACATACCACTACCATGCGCATTGACTTCCTTAATTACTCTGACTTATAATGTTCCAG